GATACATGATTTCCCTGGAGCTTACAGGTCAGGTACCAATTAGAGACCTCATCTCAAAAAAAAAAAAAAAAACCAGGCAGATGGATGGATTGTGAAGAGTGACACTTGAGGTTGACCTCGATGCACCACACGAGAACATACAATTGTCTAGGATATAGCTCAGAAATTCAAAGGTCAGAGATGGCTGATAGTGCTATACAATCCAGATTACCTGAGTTCAAACCTGGAACTGGAGTAAAAAAACTAGTTGCAGTAGCATAAATCTGTAATCCTAGTATTCCTATGGTTAAGCCATGCATTCACAGGCCTGCTGGCATAGAGTACGGCGTATAGCAGAAACAGCAAGGCAGACCCTGCCTCAACGTGAGCTCTTGACAGTTGCCCTCTAACGGTCACATCCATGCATAGGCATGAACATGTGCGGGGAACCCACACCTAGCATGCAAAAGGCCCTGGGTTCATTTAATCCCAAGTACTGCCTGCCTCAGGCTCAAAAAAGGCAAGCAAGGAAGTCACCCACTACAAACAAAGACTGAGATTCTGTGGCAGACATAGAAACATAGCAAATTCTATGAAGGGAGGATCTGGCTGACTGGATTAGTAGGGTCTGTCCAGGCACGGGCAAACACCTTAACACCTATCTGGAAAGACACAAGGATCTAGTAGAACTATGAATCAAAGAATGGTCAAGGAATGCTAAGTTTCCTCAGTATAAGAGGTGTGTGCCTCTGTTCTTACACATTAGATATCAGTGGGTTGTTTGTTTTTTTGGGGCAGGGGCAGGGTTTGCAGGGTGAGAGCAATCTTTTAAGCATTTTTTTTTACAACGTCCTCAAGTTTGAACTTCATCAGAACCCTTGAGAGTCTGCTAACACAAATTGTTGGGCCCTTCTTACAGAGCCTGATTCAGCGGATTCAAAGTATGACCTTGAAAGTGTGCGTTTCTAACAAATCCCAGGGTGACCAGGACTGCCCCAGGCCCTGAGACCACCCACTATGGCAGCAAATATTCACTTTTCATATATCTCAACACTCCCACGTGCTTACAAACTGCAGCACACACTTGAGCCCGAACAAATAAATACCATGTCTTGGGGCAACACCACCCTACCCCAAAGACTGGTACAGCTGAGAAAAGAACAGGAACCCAAATCAACACTGTCCAGGCTGTGAACACAGTCAATCATGATATATCCACATTCAGGTTAGGGGGTCCATATATATATACATATACACATACACATACATATAGTGAGAGAGAGAAAAAAAAGTGTATGTGAGTACCCGTGGAGACCATAAGGTGTCAGAAGCCCTGCAGCTATAAGTACGGGCAGCTGTGAGTTGCCTGCTGCGAACCGAAATCGGATGACGTAGATCAACAAGCCCTGTTAATGGCAGCCCTCTCTCCAGCCTTTAGGAAGCACTTTCTGACTCTCAGAAATGACCTTTCATATGGCCCTGCTGACTTAGCTCGTAGGTACTTATAAGGCCTACAACCCAGGCCCTAAGTACAGCTCTCCAATGAAAAAAAAAAAAAAAGGAAACGCCTGTGAAGGGACTCTAGGAGGCGTGAGCAAGACAAACAACGGTCTGGAAGGGTTTGCCCCTCCACTATCCCACCTTCTTTGTTGTAAACAGTTAAGATTACATTCCTAGAGATAGCCCTTATTTGATCACTTCCTCTGCCTGAGGTTGACTACCTAGGCCCAGCTACCCAAGTAGGGAGTCCAGCAAAAGCCCCCTGTGGCTACCCTAATTAACCTAACACCTCTCCCTAACGCGAGGCTCCCACTTTTACCTTTATAAACGCCATTTGCCTATGGGGCAAGTCTGTTTCTCCTCTAATCCAGTCCTTGGTCCCTGCAGGATAAATATCTCTCCCCGCCCTCCCGTACTCATTTCCCCTTTCTCCCTGTCCTCTAGTTCCTGTCTTTTTGTCTCTTGTTCCATGCATTTTTGTCCCTATGGGACAATTAAATCTCCTTTGTGCTGAGAACTTGGTTTAGGGGTTGTCTTGTGCCAATACCAAGCCTTTCACCCTTCACACAGCTTCTGTCCAAGGAGGTGAGAAGAACTCCCAGAGGAGGGAAGGCTGAGCTCCCGAAGCCGGGTAAGGAGGAAAGCCGAGCTCTAGGGAAGATGGAGGACAAGCTTTGGGGGGGTCGGGGTGGACTCCCAGGGGCGTCGCTTACGGTCCTCAGGTTCCGCTTCTTCAGTCTGCGGGCCTGCGTACACTTAACGAAGGCTCTGATCACCGCCCTGACAGCCAGCCGGTAGCAGCGATTCTTCCTTCCCTTGAAATGCTGGACGGAGAAAAAGGTGGGAGGGTGTCCGGATGGCAGCGCACGCACCACCTGGCCCGTGCCCCCCATGGGTTCGCGGCACGCGCACTCACCCGAGCATGTTTCAGCACATCCTGAACCCGCCAAAAGCGGTCTGTGATGCGGTTCCGCAGCCAGAGCCGCGTTGTGAGGAAAACCATGGTGTGCTCCGGGAATGCAAGGAGCTGCCATAAGCATTTCCGGGTCAACGGTCAGAGAGGCCGGCCAGGCCGGTGCGCGCGCGCACAATCTTCCGGGATGCCTCTGGACTCGATCCCTCGGTTCCGCTGCAAGCAGGGGGTGCAGGCGGAACGGACCAGATGCGTAGAGATCATTTCATGGACTGGAGGAGGGATCAAGGAGACCCGGCTGATGATAAAATAGAGAGAGGGCAGTTGCGAACGGAAATCGGATTTCCAGAGACGACCAAAGGACCTTCGGTGGTCTACTCTTGTGTGGGCATCAGTTAGTTGTCCCTAAGTCAAAGCAGCCCCATTCGAAAAACAGCTATTCTGTTTTTGTTTGTTTGTCTTGTCTTTTTTTTTTTTTTTTTTTTTTAAGACAGGGTTTCAAAACAGTCCTGGCTGTCCTGGAACTCGCTTTGTAGATCAGACTGGCCTTGAACTCATAGAGATCCCCCTGCCTCTGCCTCTGAGTGCTGGAATTTGTGCGCCACCACGCCTAGTTAAGGCAGCTAGTCTGAGTCGCAGATCCGCATGAACAAAGGTATCTATTGTCCTGAAGAAGATGTGCCCAGAGAATGAAGGCTAACCTCCTGTGGGTATAGAAAGCCTAGTTCCGGGGGATGGAGGGTTGAGCTCCCAGAGCCACCTGTGGTAGAGAACTAAACTAGGGAGATGAAGGTCAAACTGGAGGTCCCGGTGAGACTAGACAGTCAACGGTAGTCAATTCTAAGAACAGCAGCGTTTAGTTTACTCATCAGCGTTGCTTAGAGTAAAACAGTGACTGACTTACCAAGGAGTTGGCTACCAAAACTTCTGGGTTTTCTGACCTCTTGGAGCTTTTCGGGGGGGCTACTTGAACATCACCCTTTCACCTGGTCCCGTCAACCAATCAAAATTACACACACACATTCAAATTAAGACAGCTCATTTTTGAGACACCCCCATGCTGCTACTGGAACCTGCTTTGCTTGCTTGCCCTGTGACATTCCTTGCTTTCCTATTCTTTTCAAGCATGGGACAGGATGGATCTGTGTGACTCCAGATGGTGTCCCACGCACTCAAGAGGGAGAAGCAGGAAAAGAAAAACAAGCCTCAAAAAACTAAAACAACAACAACAAAAATTCGCTGGGCGTTGGTGGCACACACCTTTAATCCCAGCATTAAATGTCTGTCAGATCCCAGCGCTGAGATGGGGAAGTAGATGTGAGCTCCCATCCCCACCAAAAGCAAAGAAGCCATTTCCATTTAACAAATACTCCCAAAGGAAGTATTTCTTTCTTTCTTTTTTTTTTTTTTTTTTTTTTTTTTGGTTTTTTTCGAGACAGGGTTTCTCTGTGGCTTTGGAGGCTGTCCTGGAACTCGCTCTGTAGACCAGGCTGGCCTCGAACTCACAGAGATCCGCCTGCCTCTGCCTCCCGAGTGCTGGGATTAAAGGCGTGCGCCACCAACGCCCGGTGAAGTATTTCTTTCTTTTGTTTTGTTTTTTTAAGACAGGGTTTTTCTGTAGCTTTGGAACTTGTCTTGGCATTCACTCTGTAGACCAGGCTGGCCTTGAATTCACAAATATCCCATTTTCGCTGGGATGAAAGTGTGCTCAACAACCACCCAGTCAAAATTACTTTTTTTTCAAGGGAGTCTCACTTCGTATACAAATCAACTTTAAGGGCAGACCCCATGCCCAGCAGTAGATACTCAGCAGAAAACCAATTTGAATGTATTTAGGGATGTGTTTGTCTTGTATTGTTGTGTTTGGTCATTTTTTTTTAACTTTACTTGTTCTTTTACTTATTTATTATGGTTTTGAGTTTTTATAGGTTTTGTTTATATGTGTCTCTGCATATGTTTTTCTCATGTTCTTTTCTGATTTCTTTTTGTTTGTTTGCTAGTTTGTTCATTTGGTTTTGTTTTTTTTTATTTATTTTTTGTTTTTCGAGACAGGGTTTCTCTGTATTGTCTTGGAAGCTGTCCTGGAACTCGCTTTGTAGACCAGGCTGGCCTCGAACTCACAGAGATCCACCTGCCTCTGCCTCCCGAGTGCTGGAATGTTTTGTTTTTTTAAATTATTTACTTATTTATTATGTATACAGTGTTCTGCCCAGGCCAGAAGAGGGCACCAGGATGCATTACAGATGGTTGTGAGCCACCATATGATTGCTAGGAATTGAATTCAGGACCTCTGGTAGAACAGACTGTGCTCTTAACTTCTGAGCCATCTCTCCAGCCCGGTTTTGGTTTTTTGAGACAGTTTCTTTGAGTAGCTGAGTCTGTCCTGACACTCATTCTATAGATCAAGTTGGTCTCGAGTGTTCATTTGGTTTTATCCTTCTCTGATTTTTTTTCTTCACGTATTTTTTGTTGATTCTTTGTGAATTCACACCACACACCCTAATCCCACTTATTTCCCAGTCCTTCCATATCAGCCCTCCACCCTATAAGCTCCCCCCAAAAGAAAATAGAATATAAAAATTTAAAAAATAAAGTCTTGCCATGGAAGTTGTAGTGTGTAACTCTGTGTCACACAATATACTCTTTTGTCAAACCAACTTTACTTGAAATTGTTCGATGCAATTCAACGAGAAAACAAACAAAAAAATTTTTGTCACCTTGCCCAGGTTCTTGAAGTTTTTCTCATGACACAACAAAGAAAGCCACAAATCAAGACACTTTTTAAAAACCAGAGGTGTTTACAGCAAGATGGGGACAGCTCTCCTATAGGCCTCAGATGCTATCTGATGACATTCTTAGCTTCTGATTTGTGGAAGCTAGTGGTCTACTAAGTTAATAGATTCCAAAACATTTCTAATAGTCACAGGCTGTTAGTTCTGACACAGAAGTAGGCTAAAACCAGCTTGAGATAAAGCAATCTGGATCTGCAACATTCCAACCTCTCCACATCCACAGTCAATTAATCTCTGCAGTCACACACAGCTTCTCCCCAGGAATTCTCATTGACACAGACATGCTATACAAGCATTTTACCAACTAAACCATATCCATAAACCGCACTGTGTGTGCTCTGAAGCTATGAGCCAACGTCTCTCCTTTCAAGTATTTCATCACAGAGAAGAGAAACTAATATGAAAGACAAATACAAACAGAACATTCCCCACATACAGTGCAGGTAAGGGGGAAGCCCCCATGGTGAACAGACAAAAGAGAAATCATGAGGCTTTAATCAAATCCGTTGCCAAGGACTTGACCCTCACCAGCACGTGGATGAGGCTGGAGCTGAGAAGTTAGACTCCTGAGGACAGAGATCAAACCTTCGCCTCAGCAGCTTCTCTCCCCAAGAATTCTCAGGTGATTTCTTTCTGACCGACAGGTGGTCTCTGCCTAGAAGGAGGGTTCAGGAGTCTTCTTGTCCTGTTTTGACCAAAAAGGCTCAGCCTCACAGAAGGAAGCACAGAGATAGTGGGTCTGTGGCTCCTAGTTAAAGAGCAGGTTAACTGCACCACCACCACCACCAGCCATGAATTTACTTCAGACACTGAGAGAATTATAAGGAAGAAAAAAAAAAGCCCAACCCTTTAATAATGGTTTCTGGCTAACACCCAAAGAGACAACACCCTTGAACAGAAATTCTTTACAGCTTATGTAGATTTTGAGCTATAACATTTCACATACTCTGTCATCTGTGAATCTCATTTAGGTTCCAGCACTAAGATACACTTTGAGCATTTATACATGTTTTACAGAACCAGAAACTGCAGGCATGGCCATTTTGAACAAATGGGAGATCTACATAGTAAAATGTCGTCACAGTTATTTTGAAATAAGCCAGTGTTGTTCTTTTTTGTTTGTTTGTTTGTTTTTGTTTTTCGAGACAGGGTTTCTCTGTATTGTTTTGGAGGCTGTCCTGGAACTCGCTCTGTAGACCAGGATGGCCTCTGCCTCCCGAGTGCTGGGATTAAAGGTGTTCTTTTTTTTTAATGTAGCTGTTAACTATGGATATCTTACCTGCCTGGCAGAATTGCAATCCTTTTGATATATGAATATAACCTAATGGGTAGCAGTTTTGGTGAGCAAATCTTTTTGTTGTTTGGTTTTTTTTGTTTTTGTTTTTGTTTTTTGAAGCAGGGTATCTCTGTGCATCAGCCCTGGCTGTCCTGAAATCTATCTGTAGAATAGCCTGGCCTTGAACTCACAGATATGCATTTGCATCTGCCTCCCGAGTGCTGGGACTAAAGGCATTCACCACTACTACCCAGCCCTGTGAACAAATCTTGTTTTGTTTTGTTTTTTGTTTGTTTGTTTGGTTGGTTTTTCTTTTTTTTTTTTTTTGGTTTTTCGAGACAAGGTTTCTCTGTGGCTTTGGAGGCTGTCCTGGAACTCACTCTGTAGACCAGGCTGGCCTTGAACTCACAGAGATCCGCCTGCCTCTGCCTCCCGAGTGCTGGGATTAAAGGCATGCGCCACCAATGCCAGGCTCTGTGAACAAATCTTAACAGAAAGGATATCCTACATAACCTCAAACTCTTAAGTTAGTTATAAGTATAGCTCTGCTTTTCTTGTCTTTCATTGTTAAGGAGATCAGGCAGTGCCTGGGGGCAGACACCCTATAGAGTCTGGGCCACCTCACCCCACTGTGTCCTCAAGGTAGAGTTGGCTCCTCGGCTCAGCAAAAGTTCTATGGTGCTGCTGTGGCCACACTCCACAGCAAGGTGCAGAGGGGTCTTGCGGAGCCAGCCAGCAGCATTGGCCTGTGCACCCCTGTCCAAGAGATGACTGACAACTTCTACATGGCCTCCCCCGAGCAGCATAGTGCAGGGGTGTGAGGCCCAGGGAGTCTCGAGAATCCATCTCAATGCCATTAGCCACCAGCAGCTGTATAACAGGTAGATATCCACCAGCGGCAGCCCTGTGGAGTGCAGAGCGGTTGTTCTTGTCACTGATATTTGGGTTCGCCCCATGGTCCAGCAGCACCTCAACATCCTGGAAAAGGAAAAGAAGAAGAGAGAAAGGGCCTGGTCCAGAGGGGTGAGGCGCTGGGCCTAGTGTTTGCTTAACCAAAATCCCTACAGCCTCTTTTTTTTTTTTTTCCTTTTAGATTTGAATGGGATGGACTCTAAGAAAGCACCAAATTCTCAGATTAAATTCAACACTGTGCAAAAAGCTGTTGCCCTCCTGGTGCTCCCTGGGCCCCCACTGATCTTGAGCTCCAGCCAAATACTTAAATAAATACTTGTTGCCAGGCATGGTGGCCCACACTTTTAATCCCAGCATCCAGGAGGCAGAGGCTGGAGGATCGATGTGAGTCCAAGACCAAGTTGGTCTTCATAGAGAGCTTCAGGCCAGACGGGTACACAGTGAGTTCCTGACTCTAAAAAGCTAAACATTCACCCAGTTCATTGCTATGGAACAAAGTGGGATTACCAGGTACAGGAGACCTCCTCTGGTACCATTCAGTAGAGAAGTTTTATAAAGAGGGCCCCACTGGGAACCTGCTCAGCTCCCAACCCCTCCGCCCTGCTCACCTGTGTTCCTTCCTCCCCCCGGCCCCCAGAGCCTATGGAAGCAAGTGAAGACGAAGCCCTCGGGCTTCTGGCACAGTCACTGAAGGTGAAGGCTGGACCTACTTGGTGGTGGCCTAGGCCAGCTGCCAGGCCAAGCGCGGTAGCTCCTGTGCTGTCCGGGGCATCCACCTTTGCCCCCAGTGCCAGGAGAAGCCGCAAGGCTGATGCACCTCCAGCTACCGCTGACACCAGCAGGGCGCTGTCCAGGTCTACATTGCCTCTAACAGTCAGCAGCTCTAGTACCGGCAGTTGCCTGCACGCAGCTGCCCAGTGTGCGGCAGTCCAACCTCTTCTGTCTTTCACAACTGGGCCCGAACCTGGTGAGGCCATAAGGCACGTAACCAGAAGCGTGCGGCCCAGCGCAGCTGCCAAGTGCAGGGGCGTGAGACCCGTTGGCGAGCATGCCACTGCCGAGGCCCCACGCCGCAGCAATAGTTCTGCCACTTTTGAGTGCCCATGCCAGGCAGTCTCGTGCAGTGGTGTGCGCCCTCTGTGGTCAGCTGCACCCACCAGGGACCCACGCTGCAACAGCAGGCGTACAAGAGGCACGTGGCCGCGCATCACAGCCAGATGGAGCGGAGTGCGACCTGTGCGATCCCTGTGGGGTGCGAAAGAAGTCAGGAAGCTGCCTAGACGACTTAGTCCCAGCCAGAGAAAGAGTCCTGAGCTAGTCACGAGGCTTACCTCTCCTCCACACTAGCCCCTTGCCTCAGCAGCTGCATCACCGAGCTGGGGGCACCACACCACACTGCCTGGAACAGGGTACTCCAGACCTGGGAGCCAAGCGGTTCCTCTGTCTTGTCTGCTGGAGCCTCCTCCCAGACCAACTCCATCCACTGCAGTTCTTCCTCCAGCCTGCTGGGATCCATCTGGGGAGAGAGAGCATCTACCCTGAGGATTCCGACTGGGTCACCCTATCTGTCCCACGTCACTGTGTCACCACCCTGCCAAGGGGACTCAGATACCACCTAGCCTTGACTCCCAGTTACCTCTGGAGGGAACTGGCAAAGGAGCTCTGTCTTCCGGCTGAGGGTTCTCTCTATTCTGTTTCTAGGCTAGCTTCAACCTGGTGACCCTTTCTCAGAATTTTTTTTCTTGCAGGTTGAGAGGTGGGTGCTGGGAGGTTAGATTGGAAGTTGAGAGTGGGCAAAGGGCCGCTGCTTCCTTCTGGGGGCATGCTGAGGCCACCTGACACTGTTTATCTAGTGATTTGAAGGGAGTCTCTGCCTGCCAGGAAGCAGCCCCTGCCTGAGCACCCTTGCCCCCTAGCAGGCTACTAAAGCTCTTGGCCACACTCCCAGGAACAAAAGCCGGGACGGGTTGGGAAGGACAAGCAGGAACATGCCCTGGATGACAGCACCTCCTTCCTACCTTCCTCCAAGTAACACAGACTTTGATATGTTCTGACTTGCCCCCAGGCACCTTGAGACCTACCTGCCCCCATCCCAGACTTGGGACTGGAATGGAATCACCTCTCCTCCTAGTTTCAGACAGGGTTGGGGAGTGGACACAATAAGGTTCTATCCTTTGTTTGTTTGTTTGTTTTGTTTTTGTTTTTCGAGACAGGGTTTCTCTGTATTGTTTTGGAGCCTGGCCTGGAACTCACTCTGTAGACCAGGCTGGCCTCTGCCTCCCGAGTGCTGGGATTAAAGGCGCTCACCACCACACCGTGGCTACGAATAGGGTTTAAATGCTGTGATTGTGTACTTTCAGTGTTAAGGCATTTTAGTAACATTGGGGGTAAATGGCTAGAGTTTTCAGTGGATTACATACTCCTATCATCTGAAAAGCCTGTTGTATACTTCCACGATGATCTGGATTCAGTACAGAGTAATTGCAGCTGCTGTTTATTAGGCATCTACTCTCTGCCAGGTACTACAGTAAGCCCTACCGGCACAACCCTGTGCCATCCTCTGAACCACTCCGCAACATGAAGTCACCCGGTGTCTTCATCTTATGCTGACACCAAAGAGGGGCCTAGTTGTTAGATAAGCAGGGGCTAGGGCCTGGAAATGAGTTGATGGTTTGCCCCTAGATGGCAGCTATTGATAGGGCGTCTGTCATAGCCAAGATCTGTGAAATGAAGCCATTGTTTGGGAGAACTGGAAGCTGGGAAAGGGTGGCCTAGGAGGAAGGAGGGCCCTAGCGCTCAGATAGGGGTAGCCGTGTAAGACCTAACCAGGGAACATAGGAGCTGCCTGCATTTGCCTGGCAAGGAGGCACATCATCAAGGTAGTGGGGGAAACTGCGGCAGGGGTGTATCCTTGGAGACTGATTCTTAGTGCTAGACTCAACTGTCTGGTGGCTAGGATCTAGATGTGAACTGAATCTGGGGAGGGTAAAGGATCTCTAGTCTGGGCCTGGGGGTGGGGGTGGTGGGGCTAGTCCTGCTTCCTGCCACTGTGATCTTAGGGAAAGCATCCTTGAAGGCCTACTGCTAGGACATGAGTGACCAGCAGGAAAGGGAGACAGAAGAGGATGAAGGAGGCACTTCAGACACAGAACCCATGCTACCCCGAAGAAGGCCTACTGACCACCATGTCTCAGTCCTGGTACGCCCAGGGTGGCCTATGTTGGCCACCCAAGGCCTCAGGACCCTGTTGCTGCCTGGCCGGGCCCTGGTTGGGTTCCTGTTCCATCTGCTGCTACCTGGGATAGTCTTCCTGCTGGTGTTGCTGCCAGCTGCTGCCATTGTCTACCTGGGATTCCTGTGCCACGCAAGGGTGAGCAGCATCGGTTAGTCCCTGGGGAGTGGGAGTCCCCCTGGAGGTTCAAGTCCCTGAGGTTGAAGGTGGATCTGCCCCCCTTCTGCCCCTTTATAAGCAGAGACATATGCGTCCTCTTCTGCCAATACCCTGCCAGCTGCAGACAAAGCAAAGCTTTTGTTTGTTACTCAGGGAGCAGCTGTCTTGCCTCCCCCAGGCCTCTTAGCTTTGTACCAGGAGGCACCAGGGCCTGGTCAGTGAGGTTGAAGTGGAGATAGGAAAGAAATTGTGAAATTCCACCTGTATTCAGTGTCTTTTTACTCCTCATACCCACACACACACACATACCCAAACACTCTTGACCTGGGCTGGGCTTCCCCACCTGAGGAGGGGAGCTATGGCTTCCCCTATACATTGATGGTCCCTATATTCCTTTCTGTGGCTTCTGGTGTGGGAGAGAGATGTTGCTGGCTGGTGACAGACAGTACAGCTGGAGTTCAACATCAGCTGTCAACACAGGTAAGGGCCATGGGAAAGAGCACATGGGGACGGGAAAACCGGTTTGGGAGAGCCAGGGAAGTTCTCTGAGCTTTTCCCTTCAGGAATCCCTATCTGGGCCATTTATAGTCTGGGTTCCAGGTCTCCCCAACAAGCTTCAACACTGTTTGGCTTAGAGCAACCGCAACTCAGGCCAACTCTCTTAGCTGTGTTCTTGCAATTCCCGTCTGGGACCCACCTCAAGGCCTTCCAGTCCCGCCCTTCTTCGCTCTGAATTCTGCCCCAATCTCTAGGTCCCACTTGGTCCTTCCTCACGGCTGCACTTCTAGAGCTTCCCCGTCCGACCACACGCCTCCACTATCCACAGGTTCATCCAGCCCCGGGTCCACGATGCCGAGCGCTGCTCTCGGACCGCGGTTCTGCGGCGCTCATTGTATTCGGATTCCTCTCCCTGCCGCCTCTTCTGGTGCTCGCCTCTGCCGCCCGCTCCCTCCTGGTTCGGCGTCTACGTCCTGTGCTGCAAAGCTCCGCGGGGACCCCTGAGCCGCCCTGCCCGCCGAGATGCAGCGAAGAGAGAATGGCGGGCGGCCGCCCTGACGAAGAGAAACAACTTTGTGCCTGGGTCTGATGCCTCAGAGGCATCTGCGTGTCGAGAGCCTCCCCTTGGCCCCCATAAAGTGGACGATTGGAGCGGCAGCCTCTGGGCTCTGAGCGCAGTGCTCGAAGTCGCCAGGAGATGGCAACAGGGTTCCTCAGACCAGGCTGGCGCTCAGAGGAGGGAGGTGGTCCTCCGAGAAGGTGCCCTGCGCTCTGCTCGCTCACACAGCCAATGCAACCAGATTTCATAACTCATCTTGAGACTCAGGAGTCAACTTGAGTTCCAAGGTCAGCCAATGACCCAGGACTAGGCTCGATTGGCTGTATGGTCAAACTATAACCAGGTCAGGTTCCAGCTTTTGTCCACACTTAGTCTGAGACTAGGATCTAGGATTCGCGGCTCAGATATAAGTCCAGGGTCAGCGCTCAGCATTTTTTTTTAATAGTTTATGTTCGTTGGTGTTTTGACAGCAAGTATATCTGTGTAAGGGTGTCACAAGCTCTGGAACTGGAGTTACAAACAGGTCTGAGCTGTAATGTGGGGTGCTGGGAATTGAACACAAGTCCTCTGGAAGAACAGACAGTTGTTCTTAGATATCTCTCCAGCTCCCAGTATCCAGCTTGTATTCTGGGTCAGGTATCAATGCGTGTCCAGAACTAGAGCTCAGCCTCTGACTGGGAAGCAGCATAAGAGTTCAGTTTACAACGTGGGTAATTTTAAGATTTATCTTTGCATTTGGAATGCTACAGCTGTACTAACAAGTTACTACGTGTGGATAAATTATCATCCTCTCTGTCTCCTATCTGCCCTGATTTCCTTCTTTCTCCTCCTCTCCTTCCTCCTCCTTCCAGGTCCTCATAAAACTAGAACTTAAATATCTTATTTATTTTTATTTTTTGGTAGTCCTGGGATGGAATTCCAAGCCTTATACATGTTAGACAAGCTACTTTACCACTGAGCTATATCCTCAGCTCTGGATATGTTTTTTAATTTTTTGATTTTTTTCCCTCCCCACCCCTTGTTTTTTTTGAGACAGGATTTTTCTGTGCATCCCTGGAACTCACTCTGTAGACCAGGCCGGCCTCCAACTGAGAGATCTGCCTGCTTCTGCCTCCTGAGTGCTGCGATTAAAGGCTCACATACACCACCACACTCAGCTAATAACTTTTTTTTTAAATTTGTGTCTTTTTTTTCTAGACGGGGTTTCTTTGTGTAGCCCTGGTTGTCCTGGAACTAGATCTGTAGACCAGGCTGGCTTCAAACTCACAGAGATCCACCTGCCTCTGTCTCCCAAGTGCTGGTGTTAAAGACATGTGCCACCACCGCTCAGCTATTATTTTTTTTTAGAGTTTTATTCTTTGTGGATTTCACATCATGCGCCCCAATCCCACTCACTTCCCCATCCCTTTGTGTCCACCCTCTGCCCTTGCACAACCTCCCCAGCCAATAAAATAAAATTTAAAAGAAAAAAAAAACTAACTCATCATGGAAGCTGTGGTGTGTCACAGTGAGTCATACCCTTTAGCCCATACATCTTTGCTTGGAAGTATTCACTGCAATGAGTCATTGGTCTAGTTCCAGGCCTCTGGCTTCTGTTACATTATTAATACTGGGTCCTCACTGGGACTCCTCTTGGATATCCTGTTGTTGCCTTGTGTCATGGAGGTCCTGCAGAACTAACTCCTTGACACGTTCTAGCAATTCGTAGAAGGGGTGGGATGTTGGGGTGGCCCAAATTAAAGCCCTGACTCTGGGCCTGGGTGGTAGCTGGGTTGGTCAGCCTGTCAATGTTCCCTCTTGTCCTCACCACCAGGTCACCCTCTCCAGCGCCTGGCCCAGCTAGCTTACTTGATGCTGGAGGCAGTAAGGGGGAGGGCCAGTTCCTTGCTTTCATGCCCTCAGGGCTGGGTCTACCCACACCCACACCACAAGAGCCAGCTCTGCTGTGCTGCCCAGGCCAGTTGTAGTGTCTCCTGAGTGCTGCAGCTGGTGAGCGGCAGAGTCAGCTCTCCTGCTTTCATGCTGTAGGTGGTGAGGGGCGGAGGGTGGGGGCAGAGGGGAAGGACATCTTTCCATCTCCCATGCTACCATACGGCAAATGAGGCGGCGGTGGAGCCAGCTCTCCCACTCTCACACCCTTGGGGCTGGCTCACTTGCGTCCCACTCTCCCTGGTGCTGCTGCCAGTGAGGGGGCGGCAAGGCCAACTCCGTGCAAAATTATTATTTTGGATAATTAACGTGGTCCCAGGCAGCAGTTCAGACGGGGGACATACACATGGCCTTTGGTGGTGACATGGTCCAAGGACATCAACACAGACCCCTGCTGCTGCTGCAATGGCCATGGACCCAGATATGGCCCTCAGCTACAGCATGAGCCGGGACCACACTGTTGTCTCAGGTGGCTTCGAAGTCTACTCACATCAGACTGTTTCTCTCCACCTTGGAGTCTTCAGATCTAACTCCCATCATAGCGCTCAAACCGCTCTTCTCTTTCTTTCCCGTCTTTCTGCCCCGTGTTTGCACGTCTTAGTGGCTAGTACCGTGGGGTGGGCCGTGTGTTGGGTGGGGTCTCTAAGGTGTCTCCTTTCTGCCCACCTCGTGATGGCAGGCAGGGCCTCTGGGTGTCATCGTGTGTCTGTCCAACCCAAAGCTCCCAAAGGAAATAAATCTCTGGCCAGTTAGACACAGCACAGTAAAACGGCAGTTGGTTCAACACAGAGCTGTCCAGTCTCATGGTTGCACCGCCACCATAGGCAACGAGAGAGATTGGCAGATAGGTTCAGTGATGAGGAGCAAATACAGCAGGACATGCCCAGTCAGTTGTGGGTCTCCCCTTCCTGGGCTAGGAGGCAGCTCTGGGAGTCACAGCAACTTGTACAGCAGTCAGTTTTCTCAGAGGAAGAAGGCACAGGCCCACAAACGTTTGTGTTTGTTACTGGCTCAACTGATGGGCCGTGCCATTCACCTTTCCCAAGGAGCAAGAACAGCAGCCACCTTTGCGTCTCCGGTTTTGCCTCGCTTCATGGGGCACAAACTGCTTGTCTTCCATTTCTCCACCACATAGGTGCTTGCTTCTTCCTCTCCTATCATTCCACCACCTACTCATTCACTTTCCATAGCGCCCAGCTGGGCTCAGGGCGGAGGTGTTGTCTTTGTGCTTCCCAGAGTGTTGGGTGGCATGGGTGGCTGGCTTCAGCCCATGGATTTATTTTTAAAAATTTTATGGGCCGGGGGTTGGTGGTGCATGCGTTTAATCCCAGCATTCAGGAAGCAGAGGCAGGTGGATCTCTGTGAGTTTGAGGCCAGCCTGGTCTACAGAGTGAGTTCCAGGACAGATTCCAAAACAATACAGAGAAACCCTGTCTGGAAAAACCAAAAAGAAAAAGAAAATTTCAGCACTCGGGAGGCAGAGGCAGGCGGATCTCTGTGAGTTCGAGACTAGCCTGGACTACTAAGCGAGTTCCAGGACAGCCGCCAAAGCCACAGAGAAACCCTGTCTTGAAACCCCCCCCCAAAAAAAAAGAAAATTTATGGGTAGATCAGGCTGGCCTTGAACTCAGGAACCTGCCTCCCAAGTGCTGGGATTAAAGGTATGTGCCACCACACCAGGCTAAGCCTTGAGCATTTTGGACAGGAATTCTGCCACTTCTACCACTGAATGGGCCCTCTAAGTCCCCTTCCCCAAAGCCCTGGTAATGTATCGTGCCAACCTGTATCTGTGATGATTGTAAGGCACTGCCCTGGTTAGTTTTTTTGTTAATTTAACATAAGACAGAGTCTTTTGAGAAAAGCGAATCTCAGTTGGCCTGTGGGACATTTTCTTGATTAATAACTGATGCAGGAGGGTCAAGATCACCTTGAATGGTGCCACCGTAGGCATGTGGTTCTGAGTTGTATAAGAAAGCAATCTGAGCAAGCCATGAGGAACAAGCCAGTAAGCAGTGTCCTTCTATGGCCTCTGCTTCAGTTCCTGCCTCCAGGTTCCTGCTCTGATTTCATTCATTAATGGAGTGTGACCTGAGAATTATAAGATGAGATAAACCCTTTCTTCCCTGAGTTGCTCTTTTATTTTTCAAGACAAGTTTTCTAGACCAGCCTGGACTTGAACTCAGAGATCTGCCTCCACTGCCCAGCTTATTACATTTTTGTGTGTGTACAAATGTATGGAAGTGCATATGCAACCATGTGAGTGTGTAAATCAGAGGACAACTCTTCAGAGTTGGGGGTCTCACAAGGAAAGAACTCAGGTTGTCAAAGTTGGTAGCAAGTGCTTTAAGCCCCTGAGCCCTTTCCCCTGGTCTGTTGATTTGGGTTTTTGTAATATTTAATTTGGGGCGGGGAAGAGGCTTTTGAGGTATATATGTACTTGTAAGCCTAGCAACATATTAAAAGTATGCTCATTATACTTTACCTGGAATCTAGTTGTAACAGACATTCTTTTTTAAATTTTAATTTCTATGGATCTACGTAATCCAGGCTGGTCTAGAACTCATGATCCTCCTGCCTTAGCTTCCCATGTACTGGGATTACAGGAATCCGCCACCATGCCAAGATCTAAATATCTTTGAAAGGATCTAGCACGCTATTTCCCCAGTGTGGCACAGCCTGTAACCAGCAGGGTCAGAGCTCAACCTATGATCAGGGTCAAGCTAATTCTGTGGCCTCAAGCATAACCCAGTCTGTTACTGGCTCAGGTCTATCTGGGCGTCTTGTGTGTCTTGGTGTCTTGGTGTTTTCCAGCTTGGTGTGTTCAGCTTTGAATCCTTTCCTGATCAGACAGAGTGCCGGAGTCAGCTGGTCGCCAAGCCGCCCAGGAGTGCTTCCTCCGGAATGAGGCCGCCTTCCTTCTCTTTCTGCCAGGAGCTAGTCTGGCCACCCCCAGAGGTTGAAGATGAAGAATCTCCTGGGAAGCCCTTGGCTGAGGATTGGATCTGCCTGGCCCCAAAGTCATCAAAACAACAGCTGGGCCTGGTGGGGGTGGGGAGGTGACGGGAGAGAGCAACTCCTAAGCTGAAGTGACTGCTGCCTGGGTGAGGAACTCTGTTATAACAGCTGTCTGAGACATTCCATTTCTGAAAGGTGTTTCCCAGCTTCCCAAACCCATCTTGAAGCCTTGGGTGTCCTCCAGGTGGCCCTGGGAAAGTCCAAGGGAGGGTAGTGGGATGAGCTACTTTGGTCTAACCTTTCAGATTTTCTTCTTATTTTATTTTATTTTTCTGGGCATGTTTCCAAAAGAACTCTGTGTGTAGGGCATGATGGTTTATGCCTGCAATCTCAGCACCGGGGAGACTGGGGCAGAAGAATTGCTGTGAGTTTGAGGTCAGACTGGGCTACAAAATAAGACTTCGTCAAAAAAGCAAAACACCCTTTTGCTGTGAATGGTATAGCAGGGCATAGCCTGGTGTTAATGTGAGGCAGAGGGATGATATGGGTTCCATTCACAGCATCACATACAAACAAACAAAAAAAAAGGAATACTATGGAGGCTGTAGGAGGTCTGCAGAAGGGGTCTAGGGTCTGTATTTAGCTGTGAAGAACAGAGTTATGCCATTTGGTAGAGAAGTAGAGCCTGGGTACTGAGGAGACGAGCTGGGTTACCAAGCAACCAGGCACAGTTCTGGGGTTCCTGCTCTTTTGTGGCCCTCTCTTCAGTGGTCTTAAGGGCCCCTTCCATTTCCACCACCATATGGTCAGGTCCTGCAAAGGGGGTTTTGTACTGAAGGGAAGAAGAGTGTGGCTCCTTCTTCAGTCACAATGTTCCCCTCCCGGTCGTCCCTGAGGTAATCACTGACCTTTGCCTATCCTACTGTCTCCTGCCTTGGCAGTACTCTGTCTGAGCTCCACAAGTGCCTGTCTGCCAACTCTTGCCTAGCATGAGCTCAAGACAGAAATGTCATTCAGGACCAGGGATCCTCATGTCTAGACTCTAACCTCAAAATCCAGGGCAGCCTCACCCTCTAAGGGCCTCTATCTCCCACCTCCCCTCCACTTCCTTGGGGCTACAGAGTTAAGCTTCAAGGTGGGCTAGCCAACACCTCCATTTAGGGGATACTCCTTTCCCGGTTACCGAGGGCCTGCCTTGTAAAAGGAGTCTGGCTGTTGTGTGCACACATGTATGAATCTGTCCTGCCTATACTCCTCTTAGGCTTTGGGTGGGGGCATCACCACAATTGAAGAGACTGGGCTCAGTGAGATTTCCATCTTACTTAAACAATGTATTCATTCACAAAGTATTTGCAGACACACCCTCAGATAGTACCTGCCAGGAGGGGCCCTGGGCTTAACCAGCTTCGTCCATCCAGCTTCGGGTCCCCAGGCTTAAGCTCTAGCCCTGCTCCCCTCCCAAGTGTGTGGGCTGGTCTTTGGTAGAGGCAGGAACCCAGCTGGGGGTGAGAGGGTTGGGAGGTGCTGCATAGGAACAGGCAGAACTGGTGCTAGCCCTGAGAGTCGAGGAGACCATTCCTCCTTCTTCTCTTAGGTCCCCACTGCTGGAAGACTCCCTTCCAAGAATACCTTGGGATGGGACAGGAAACTTGGGTCACTTCTTACAGAAGCATCCCAGCCAAGACCCAAACCTGGGGGTCCCGTGTCAGGGTTGGAACATTCCTGTTCAGCTAGTGGCACATTTGAGGCTTGCAGTCTGACTCTGACGGCTGTTTCTCTAGGAGCATGGAGTCGGCGGTCCTTGCCTCAACCACCTCACCCTCCAAGCTTCTCCTAGTACTCAGAATCCCATCATCCTCCCTATGCTCTGAAGACCACATAGCCTGGCTTGCTTCCTCTGTCCTAGCCCAAGCATCTTGTCACATACATGCACTTTTACTCACAGCCCTCCAGGTCATGGCACTCGCTGTTGCCTCTGCCTGTAAAGGTCTTCCTTCCTGTAGCTCCCACCACAGGGTTCCCATTGACTCCCTGGCCTCGCACGATTATTCATTTCTCAGGGAAAATAAGCAGCCCTGTGTATTAAGTTCATTTTATGTAGCTGTGACCACGATGGCACAACTGATAGGAGCAACTTAAGATTTGCTCTAGCTCCTTTAATCCCAGCACTCGGGAGGCAGAGGCGGGCGGATCTCTGTGAGTTCGAGGCCAGCCTGGTCTACAGAGTGAGCTCCAGGACAGCCTCCAAAGCCACAGAGAAACCCTGTTTCGAAAAACCAAAAAAAAAAAAAAAAAAAAAAAAAAAAAAGATTTGCTCTAGCTCAAGGTCTCAAAATGCTGCGGTCTGTCATGGTGGGGGGAAGGCATGGTAGAAAGGTTCTTCATATCACCGCAGACCAGGGAGTCTCAAGCAGTAACATAAGCCGGGAACTGGTCTTTAACCCTCAAAAAAAAAACCTGCCCTTTACCATTAGGCACAGCCTCCTAAAGGCTCACGGGCTCCCAAAAACTACTACTAACTAGGGAACGAGGGTTGAGGGCGTGAGTCTGGGGATCATTTCAGATTCAAATCATAGCACCCTGCGTCTCTGTTGCGTGGAGCATTCATTCCTGAGTAGTCCTCATCTGGCAGTACTGGGAAGACAGGGCTTGGCCCAGTGCCTTGTGTCCTCGGTGCAGAGACTGGGGTGGTGGTGGGGCTCTGGAACCTGCCCCCACAAAGCTGGTCCAGGAGAAAGTGTGATAGCAGGAAGGAGTTGAGAGCCCTGATGCTCTTGGTTGCTCCTTGACTGCTGTGAGACAGTGTGTGTGTGTGTGTGTGTGTGTGTGTGTGTGTGTGTGTGTGTGTGAGATCGGGTCCAGGCTCAACCCATCCCACTGCTCCAGGCCTCCAACAGCTGCTCCCAGCGTTTCCTGTTTCTGTGTTGTGGTGTGTGCTTGGGTTTTCGTGTTAGACACAAATGACAAGTGGGACAGCGGTGGCGCACGCCTTTAACCCCAGCACTCAGGAGGCAGAGGCAGGTGGATCTCCGAGTCTGAGGCCAGCCTGGTCTACAGAGCCAATTCTAGAGCAACCAGGGTTACACAAAGAAACTCTGTCTCAAAAAAAAAATCAAAAAAGAAAGAAAGAAAGAAAGAAAGAAGGAAAGAAAGAAAAATGGCATTTCAGAGCATTCAGCCTGGTGGAAATGGGAGAAGTTTCCCCCTTGGCACTCATCCTAGTCAGCTTTAATGTGATACAGCCAGGGTCATCTGGGAAGGAAGTCTCAATTGAGGGATCCTTGGGTCAGACTGGTCTGCGGGGGGAATTGTTGTTGCAGGAAGACCCAGACCACTACTATGGGCTATACCATTACCTGAGCAAGTAGTCCTAGGCTGTATGAGGGAGCTAGTTAAGCATGAGTCAGTGAGCAAGCCAGCAAGAGTTCCTCCATGAAAAACAAAACAAAACAGCAGCTCATAGTTCGGGTGGAGAGACAGGGCAGGGCAAGCAGTTCTGTCCTTGCATGGGGTCAAGGGTCAGGTCAGAGGCCCCAGGAGCTGCCCTTTTCCCTGGGATTGAACATGACCACAGCCATCTGTGGACAAAAGGCCCTTCTTCTCTGCAGAAGCCTGACTGTGGGAGGAAAGGAACATTCCCTAGGGTCCTTGGCTGAAAGCAGGGACACTCTAAGAGCGGTGTTCTGGGTTTCAGGAAACCCCTCCACCTGCCTGCAGACCCAGACAGGGCAGGCCAGCTGCTCCAGGAAGTAAGGCACAGACAGGCACTCCTTGTTCTGAGCCAAAGTCATTGTGGCAGGCTAGACTTAGCATCAAAGGTTGTCCTTCCTCTTGGGTTCCTAGGTTGACAGGAACAGGCAGGGGCAGTCAGTCCCTGGAGGCTGAGGACTGAGGGGTCAAGGTCACCCAAACCTGGCCCATCTTTGCTCTTTTCCCCTTTCCTGAGCCTATCTTGTTTTAGAGAAAAGGCTTCTGGACTCTTCTGTTTATTCTTCCTTTGGTATCTGCTTTAAGCCCAGCCCCGAACCTGACCATTGCACCCCTGGCTGACCCCATAACCCCTAGGATGTCTGTCTTCTGGGGGTGGGGAGCACTGCATGACAAAAGCATAAGACTTTTCTGGTGGCTGCTCAGGGGGTAGGGATGATGGGAAGGGTATCCCAAGGAATTTGGCAGCAGGAACAATTCAGCCTGAGCTCAAGTCAGGCAGGTAGCCCAGCTTGGAAGGGCTGGGTGGAGACTGGGCCTCCTGTGCCCTCTCCGTCTGATGGTGAGGCCAGAGGAAGGAGGGCAGCTGCTTTCTCAAGTGCCTGAGTCACAGTCAAGAAGGTCTGCTCACTTTTTCCAGAAGGGATGGAAACAGGGCAGGCTGAGGTGTGAGGATAGGCCTGGGGACTACGAATCTCTGCTTCCTTCAAGACCCAGCTCCCTGGCAGAACAAGCCTGAGATAAAATGGTTCTGTTGGGGACTCTCACCACCCCCCCACACCCCAACCATGTCCTCTGCTTGTTCACAATGCCATCTCCACAGCAACCTTGTGTACTGGGAGCTGGAGGTTAGTTGGTGCCCCCTGAGAGGCATGCTCTTTGAGGGACTCACACACGCTGCTCCTGTCTCAAGCATTGCTCAGGCAGAAACATCAAGCACTTTCTGGTCCATTCAGAGGCCTGAGGTCTGTGGAGTGAAGCCAACACCCACTGCCAAGATTCCCGGCAAGGGAGTGGGGGACGGCAGCAGGACATAGCTCTTACTTGTTCCTGCAGCAAGCTTCTCGGGCTCAACCGTATTGCTTCCTTTTTTAGGCAAAGCCAAACTCAGGCACCGTCCTCAAGGCCCCACAGTGTCTCACCTGCCAGAAACGGAGGAAGGAAAACCATTGAGTTCCATCCGTCCTCCCTGCTGGGTATCCTGTTGCCGAAAGGGAGGGGACATCCTGCCAGACAACATCTCCCCCATCCCCCGTGTGTACCTTCACCCCGAACACTACACAGGAAAGCATCTTAGGAGAGCACCAGCAGTGCAGCCCTCTTGAAGGACTCAGTGTCCTGTGGACGACACTTTGGTCTGGGTTTGGCACTGACTGCAGGACGGACCCAAGTCTGGATCATCCATCAGTGGGTCCTGGTCCTGCCGGGTTCTGGCCTGGGCGTAGCCCTGGACCACCATTTGGGTACTGTATAGGAAAGCAACAGGCCATCATGGTCACTCTGGATAGCTTCTGACTGCCTGGCTTCCCCTTATGTCTTTTCCTCCAAGAATTCCGGTGAGCGTGCTGGCAAGGCAGGCCTTTTCATTCTGTAAGAAACTTCTTATATGCTCTTGTCTCAGTGTCCTTACTGGTCAGACTGCGGAGAAAACCGGCCGCTCTTCCAGCCTGTAGTCAAGCTGGGGTTCTTGTTGAGGGGCGAATTGCTTCTTTGTATGGCCCCACTTCTCAGGCTCTCTTGGCCCTGACTTCAGGCGTTTTGCAGTTCAGGAACTGTGAGGAGCTCTAAGGGGAGAGGCGAGAGGTGAAGAATATGGGCGACACATTATCACAGCCTGCAAAAGAGAGATGGGAATGTCAGCGCATGCCCACATGTATGTGCCTTTGTGGCTGTTGCTTGTCACCGCAAGCCTGGGACCGCTGAGGCACGCTTCGCTGCTGCGCAGATTAGCCTTTGAGAGCTCGACAGAGTGCACGCGCCTCCCAAGCGGGGGGCGTGGCCGCGACAGTGGGTGTGGCTTCTCAGAGGTGGGTGGGCCTGCCTCGCCGTAGGAAGGCAAGTTAGCTGCCAGCTGCGGTCAAGAGCCCGCCACTCTGTGCGCGATGCTGTTCTGGACTGCGCTCAGCCTGGCTTTGAGTTTGCGGCTGGCACTGGCGCGGAGCGGCGCAGAGCACAGTAAGTGTGGTGGAACCCGGATTCCAACTCCTTGACAGCCCCATCGGCTGCTGCCCACGCTGGTCATGACTGTCCAGGTGCAGCGGCGGGACGAGTGGGCGGGGGCGAGGAGCGGGTGGGGCGCACGGCAGCTCCTTAGCCACCTGCGGTGGGCGCCCCCAGGCACCGGGTGACTTAACTGAGTCAACGCTTGCACATCGAACGCGGAGGCCACGGTCTGCCCCGCCCCGCCCCGCCCCTCAGGCCTGGATAGTGGAGAAAGATGTTTGAGAGGCCTCCCTGACTCAGTTTCCTTATCTTTGAAAGGCCCCTCAGTAGAAAGGAGGTAAGAGGATTGGAATGGCCCCACAATGAGGGGGAAGCCCAAAGCCAGGACTAGAACCCAGGCACCCTGAGAACCCCTACCTATTTGAGACTTTGTGATGAAAGGTCTCATCAGTACTGATCAGTATCCGCAGGGCTAGGATAAAAGGGGAGACCCAAATGGTTGGGCACACAGGCTGTTTCGGGTGGGTATATCCTGCTTTCTTGGTACAAATGAAGCGGAGAACGGGGGCCAGAGGAGGGGAGGGTGATGTCATCTTGACCCTCCAGCTTGGCCATATGATGGGTGGGAAGGGCTATACAGTGTTTTGTCTTCCCCATCCCTTCACTTTTGCCCTCCCATCCTCCCCTGTTGTCTCCGTTGCTGTGCATGCTCAGAGCCCATTGTTTCTCCTGGAAACTGGGCTGCCTAGCTTAACTCCATCCTGGAAGTGGCCCTTCCGAAAATCTAGTCTAAGGAGAGCGGTGCATATGGCTCGGGTCCCTTCTGGAGACCTAGGCCTGAACCCTTGACTCCACCTGCGTGCAGTGTCTATTGAGTAAAGTATCGGCTCTCATATAAGGAACATGCGGGCAGCCCCTGGTGCCCTAGGTACGTGGGCATTGTACAGTCAGGAACCCTTGGAGAGTGTGGGCCTTTTGCTGGCTTATAACCCCATTCTGGGGATTCTACTACCAATATCTTTGGGCAAAGGCAAGCATATGCTTAAGGAAGTTCAGGCCTAGCCGGGCGTTGGTGGCGCACGCCTTTAATCCCAGCACTTGGGAGGCAGAGACAGGTGGATCTTTGTGAGTTCGAGGCCAGCCTGGTCTACCAAGGGGAGTTCCAGGACAGCTTCCAAGACAATACAGAGAAACCCTGTCTCGAAAAAAAAAAAAAAAAAAAGGAAGTTCAGGCCTTTGGGGTGGTTCTGCCCTGGGCATGGGGCTGTCTGGGGGGGGGCTACCACCTGAACTGAACCCCTTGTCTTTTCCTCTAGGTGCCACAGCATCAGCCCCCCCAGGGGGACCTGTTGTTCCTGCTGGACAGCTCAGCCAGTGTGTCACACTATGAATTCTCAAGGGTTCGGGAATTTGTGGGGCAGCTGGTGTCTACGATGCCTTTTGGCCCTGGGGCTGTGCGTGCTAGCCTGGTGCATGTGGGCAGCCGGCCATACACAGAGTTTACTTTTGACCAACACAGTTCAAGCCAGGCTGTACAGGATGCCATACGTGTCACGTCCCAACGTATGGGTGACACCAATACAGGCTTGGCACTGGCTTATGCCAAGGAGCAGTTGTTTGCTGAAGTCGCAGGTGCCCGGTTAGGGGTTCCCAAGGTACTGGTGTGGATGACAGATGGGGGTTCCAGTGACCCCGTGGGCCCCCCTATGCAGGAGCTCAAGGACCTGGGTGTCACCGTCTTCATTGTCAGCACTGGCCGAGGCAACCTGTTGGAGTTGTCGGCAGCTGCCTCAGCTCCTGCTGAGAAGCACCTACACTTTGTGGATGTGGATGACCTTCATATCATTGCCCCAGAACTTCGGGACGCCATTACTGGTAGGTGGGAAGAGCCAGGGCCTGTGAATCCCTAGCTGACAGTTTGCTGCAGGGGGGAGGGTCTGGGTTGAGACTTCAGGGGAAACTCATGAGCCCAATGCCTTTGTGGGTGCAGCAGTGGGGAGGTGACCTACGTGTTCTGTGCATACTGTCCAGGAACATGCTCCTTCTGGGTGCCTTCACGTACCCCGACACTTGGGCTATAAAGAGATTATGGCAGGCCTGAGTGACCACTTCAAGATGGGAACTCCCTGGCATTTATAGGCCAATGAACTGAGAGCTACTTGGAGTATGGTATGTGTGGAGGGGCTTAGTACAGATAAAGGAGGTCCAAGGCTCCCTCCATGGATCTCTGTCAGTTACATCATGTCATGTGTCCTTGCGTGTGTCCAGGGGCCAAATGTCTCGCCTGACCCACCATTCCTGGAGAAAGGAGAGCCAAGTGTGTCAGGGATTGTCTCCTACAGAGTTCAGGCCATACCTATTCCATTGTGGGGAGCCATAGTCAGAAAGGGGTTTGAGCTGGTTTTCTTTCACTCAGGTCCATTGTGGGGAATGCTGGGGGAAGCCAGGACAGGAAGACTGTAGGAGCTTATCACCAGCTTTCTTCTGGACCTTCTATAGCTGATCTCCCAAAGAGAAGGGGCTAGAGACTAAGGGCCTGTTGGTTGGCTTAGCCTGCGGTAGGCACTGAAAAATGCTATCACTCCAGGGTAGCATTTTTTTTTTTTTGGTTTTTTCGAGACAGGGTTTCTCTGTGGCTTTGGAGGCTGTCCTGGAACTCGCTGGAACTCACAGAGATCCGCCTGCCTCTTCCTCCCGAGTGCTGGGATTAAAGGCGTGCGCCACCAACGCCCGGCTGGCCAGGGTAGCATTCTTACCAAGTCTCTTACGGTGGATTAATCATCTACACTAAACAGGAAGGGCTTGGTCTGTTGATTGGAAAGGGTGAAAGGTCTGCTTCACCCTTTAACCTGGAGGGGGCAGAAGGAGAAAAGGCTTTCATCGGAGACACTGGTAACTAAGATCAGAATCTGAGTGGGGAATCTGGGAAGGGGAGTGAGTACCCAGCTGACCACACTTAGCACCCAGCATCAGCAAGGAAGAAAGCCAAGATCTGGATGGGCCTATCAAGCCTTACCTGCATATTGATCAGATGGCTGGCCATATGTTTGTTGTCCTAAGTCCAGGAGCCCATTCTGGAGCCCCTCCCCTTCCGCTGTCTTGTATAGGAAGGCCCCGCCCTCTCCCTAATCAGTAGGTTCAGCTGCTCCTGGGGTTGTCACACTTCCAATGCTCCAGGGGTCACTAACCTATAGTCTCTCATCTCCTGGCTAAAGCCTCTGATCTGTTTCGCTCCTTCACAACTGTTCGGGATATGGCTCACAACAGATTTTGTGCTGACCACTTGGTCTTAGGGGGACTGGTCCTCTGTTTTTAGATAATGCTGTGGACCCTGCTGCCTTTTGAGGGACCTTGGTCAGGGCTGTTTTTCTGTGAGGAGTAGCCGCTGTATCTTATAGGTCTGGGTTTGAGGATGAAGTAGGCAGGAAAGTTTATGATGGGGCCCAGAGTTGGGGACTTGTCATTGCACCAGCCCAGTCAGACCTGTAGTCATTAGCACCTACTGGTAGTGAACATCCACCTGGCTCCTGCCTCTCCTTGGCAGAAAGCCTCACCAGTCTTACCGGGGCTCCAATCTTCGGGTCCTCTCCGGATCAGAGAGAGCCCCCGCTCTGTGACACGGAGAAGGCCACTTCTGTTCCCTGACCCAGCACCACACCATCCTTAGATGCGATGCAGCCACAGCAGCTCCGGGCCTCGGAGGTTCTGTCCAATAGCTTCCGCCTGTCCTGGCCGCCCCTGCTAACAGTGGACTCTGGTTACTACGTGCTGGAGCTGGTGCCCAGTGACAAGCTGGTAACCAAAAGACGCCAACAGCTGCCAGGGAATGCCACCAGCTGGATCTGGACCGACCTCAACCCGGACACAGATTATGAAGTAGCGCTGCTGCCCGAGTCCAACCTGCGCCTCCTGAGGCCCCAGCACCTACGAGTACGCACGCTGCAAGGTGAAGCAGGGGTACCTCATGGGAGGGCGGGGTGGCATACGAGGGGCTCCCTCCAATCAACCACCCTTTTCCTCCGCAGAGGAGGTCGGGCCGGAACGCATCATCATCTCGCATAGCAGGCCGCGCAGCCTCCGCATAAGTTGGGCTCCTGCTCTTGGCCCGGAGTCTACTCTCGGCTACCAAATACAGCTCGGGCCTCTGCAGGGCGGCTCCCTGCAGCGCGTGGAGTTGCCCGCTGGCTGCAACAGCACCACCATCCAGGGCCTGACGCCCGGCACCACTTACCTGGTGACTGTGACTGCCGCCTTCCGCTCTGGCCGCGAGAGGGCGCTATCGGCCAAGGCCTGTACGACCTTGGGCGAGCGGACCCGCGAACCGCGGCCAGAGGCCAGACCGCCAGAACCGTGAACTGCCTGCCCCGCCCACCCGAGGGTCCCTCTTTCCCTAGCTCAGTGAGGGAGGCGCCGCCGCTGCGGAACCGAGTTTTTTTCTCGGGGATGGGATGGGGTGGGGGGGATGGGGAGATGGGGTGCCGGTCCTACCTTTGACCCGCGTGACTCCCCCCAGTGGTTTCCCTGCTGGTCATGCTGGGCACCGTCCTCGCCTGACTCCTGGGAACCCTGTGGGCACCCTGGTAGCCGCAATGGCAGTCCTCTCCGGTTGCCAGAGGAGTTGAGGATACAGAGGTCTTTGAGCAGCATTTGGCGGGGAGATGGGCAGTGTCTGAGAGCCGATTGAGGACATAAGGCAAGCAAGCATTTAGGAGAGGAGGCCGCAAGGTTTCCTACCTGTGCCAAAGGCGGGGCCCTCCGGTAGCGAGGACTTCACATGGCTTGGAGCCCAGGACCATTCAGGTCTTGCTTGTGCTTGGAAAGTGGGAGGAAGAACGGGAGGAGAGGCTGGTGCAGGCAGGATTCCTAAAGGCTTCTTGAGAGTTGGAAGGTTAGGGAGGGGAGTATTGGGAGACTGGTGATGTTGCCAAGTAGCTTTCAGCAGGATCCTCTGCTAGCCCAGAGGATCCTGCCAGAGACACTGGCCCTGCCTTCCTGCCCAGGATCTGCAATAGGGATGCAGTCTTTTCGCAGAAATGGGATGAGACCTTGGGGATGGGAGACCCCCGTGCTGTGACAGGCTCTAAGGGAGGCGTCTGTTTTAGTGTAGGAAGCTTTGTAGGGGATAGGAACAAACAACAGTCCCCCTGGGAAAGTTCACTCCAAGGACTCTGCAACATCGAACGCTGAGGTGTTGGGCTGGCAGGCTACCTACCTCCTGTCATTACCTACTTCCAGGGGCTTCTGACAGACAGCTAAGGGTGGTCAGAAACAGGCTTCCCCTCAAGCCCCTATTCAGGCAGAGTCTCTCCTCCCAGAATCACTTGTCCCAACCCAAGCTCACTTTATCTCTCTTCCCCACTAACGACCTAAATTCTAAAATACAGTCAAGTCAGTTACAAACTGTGCCTGCAGTCTCATTAAAATGTTTTACTTTTCGAGTCGGGTGGTGATTGGTGGTGCACGCAGGAGGCAGAGGGGATCTCTGGGTTCGAGACCAACCTCATTTACAGAGTGAGCTCCAGGAAAGCCAGGGCTACACAGAGAAACCCTACTTGAAAAAAAAAAAAGACTTTGCCAGACAGTGGTGGTGGTGCATGCCTTTAATCCCAGCACTCGGGAGGCAGAGGCAGGCAGATCTCTGTCAGTTCGAGACCAGCCTGGTCTGCAAGAGCTAGTTCCAGGACAACCTCCATAGGCACAGAGAAACCCTGTCTGGAATAACCAAAAAAAAAAAAAAATTGTTTTAAGCCTGGCATGGTGGCTCACTCCTTTAATCCCAGCTCTGGGGAAGTAGAAGTAGGTAGATGTCTGAATTTGAGGCCAGCTTGGTCTACAGAGTGAGTTCCAGGACAGCCAGGGTTATACAGAGAGAAAACTTGTCTCCAAAACAAAACCAGGGCTGGAGAGATGGCTCAGAGGTTAGGAGCACTGACTGCTCTTCCAGCAATCACATAGTGGCTGACAAACATCTGTAATGAGATCTGGTGCCCTCTTCTGGCCTTCAGGCATACACGCGGACCGAACAATCTACATAATAAATAAATATTTGAAAAAAAGCAAACAAAATATGGTTGTAAGCTAGTCTTGGTGATACTTGCCTTTAATCCCAGCACTGGTAGAAGCAGGTGGGTCTCTAGAAGTTCTAGGTCAAGCTAGTCTATGTTTTGAGTTTCAGGATAGCCAGGACTACATAGAGAGACCCTGTCTCAAAAAAAAATAGTAAGTTTTAAAAACAAAATATTTGTTTTATTTTTATTTTACACACTTTTTACATGACTTATATGGAAAGTTTATTTGTGAAAGGTTTATTCATGGAAGGTAAGGAAGTAAGGGGGAGAGAAAGAGACAGAGAGAGCTACACATTTATTTTATGTGTATGGGGGCGTGTGTATGTACTATGTGCAAAGAGGTACCAAGGAGGTCAGAAGAGGGAGTCAGATCATGTATAAATTGGTTGTGAGCTACCTGGCGGTGCTGGGAACTGAACCCAGGTACTTGACAAGAACAGCAAGTGATTCTAACTGCTGAGCTATTTCTCCAGCCCCTTATTTCATTTCTTTCTTTCTTTTTGTTTTTTGGTTTTTCCAGACAGGGTTTCTCTGTATTGTTTTGGAGGCTGTCCTGGAACTCGCTCTGTAGTCCAGGCTGGCCTCAAACTCACAGAGATCTGCCTGCCTCTGCCTCCCGAGTGCTGGGATTAAAGGCGTGCACCACCAACGCCCGGCTCATTTATTTCATTTCTAACAATGTGTATGTGTATATTCTGTATGAATGCACAAATGAGAGCAGGTGCCCTAAGCTTCATCCCAGGGAAAAAGCAGGAGAGACACAGCTGTTGCATCTGAGCTTCAGGTTTCCTGTACTGTCCTGTCTTCCCCAGGAGGAGGATGACTTCAGGGCTACATTTCTGGGGGTTTAACAGCCTTTACCACTGTTACTTTATAATTTTCCAAGCTCCAAGGTGGTAGAAGCTATACTGAGTACTCCCTAACTACACAGCCACTATTGAACAACTCATTTCCCGGGGACCTAGATCCAGACTGTCCCACTGTCTGGCTGTCTCACAAATAGCTTCATCCCAAGAACTTCAAAAGCTAGAGACTGGGGGCTGGAGAGATGGCTCAAAGGTTAAGAGCATTGGCTGTTCTTCCAGAGGACCTGAGTTCAATTCCCAGCAACCACATGGGGAAATCTTATCCCACTAAATTTTTTCCTCGGGCTGGCAACATGGCTCAGCAGATAAAGATGCTTTTCACACAAGCCTGGCAACTGGAGTTTAAACTCTGGAATCCATGTAAAAGTAGAATGAGAACCAACTCCGAGTAAAGTTGTCTCTGACCTCTATATGTGGATTGTGGCAGGTATGCACCCCCGACATACACATACATCATACACTTACACAAGAATAAATTTAAAAGTCTACTTCCTATAGATGTTCTCTGGGTCTGCATTGATCTTAAATGTATACTAAATTCAGACACTTAAGACATGCTTAGGATTGGAGAGATGAATCAGAGGTTAAGAGCACTCATTGTTCTTCCAGAGGTCCTGAGTTCGATTCCCAGTGACCACATGGTGGCTTACAACCATCTGTAATGAGATCTGGTGTCCTCTTCTGACCTGCAGGAATATATGCAGAAAAAACACTGTATACATAATAAATAATTTTTTCTTTTCTTTTTTTTTTTTTGGTTTTTTGAGACAGGTTTTCTCTGTATTGCTTTGGAGCCTGTCCTGGAACTTGCTCTGTAGGACAGGTTGGCTTTGAACTCATAGAGATCTGCCTACCTCTGCCACAAAGGCTCCTGAGCTCTTCATAGACATTTCCTAAGGGGTCCACCCACAGCACCTCCCGGAGCATCCAAGGACACAAAGATACACTGGTGGCCAAGGACTTGAAAAGGTAGACAGCATCTGAGTGTAGCCAGGATCAAGGCCACTCATGATGACCCTGGGAATATGTCTATCAATGGAGATACCTTCGGGGAACTCTCAGCTAGGAAGTCTGCAGAGGGCCTGATTTGAGATCACCATGATCAGGTAACTATTTACTCAAACACAATTCTCAAGTAGGAATATGAGCTACTTCAGGTAGTAAGAAAGCTTGGGTTCGACAGTGGTAGTGGCGTACAACTTTAATCCCAGCACTAGGGAGGCAGAGACAGGCGGATCTCTATGCGTTCAAAACCAGCCTGGTCTACAAGAGCTAGTTCCAGGACAGGCTCCAAAGCCACAGAGAAACCCTGTCTTGAAAAAACAAACAAAAGAAAAACAAACACAAAAAACAAACAAACAAAAAAAGAAAGCTTGGGTTTAGTACTAAGCCATTAGTATCCTGGGTCATCATCATAAATCTGTCACCTCTCTGAAACATTTCATTTATAAGACTGGAATTCCAGCCAGGCATTGGTGGTGCACACCTTTAATCCCAGCACTCGGGAGGCAGAGGCAGGTGGATCTCTGTGAGTTCAAGGTCAGCCTGGTCTTCAGGACAACCTCCAAAGCAATACAGAGATACCCTGTCTCAAAAAAACAAAACAAAACAAAACAAAAAAAGATTGGAATTCCGGGGAGCTCTTGAATCCCAGACTGATGGCTGAGAGGCCAACATGGGACTGATCCAGACTCCATGAATGTAGTGCCAGTGAGGAGGCCACAGAAATCACTGGGGCCTTGGGTAGTAGATCAGTGTTTACCACAGTGTATGAATGATCTTTGATAGCCCATTCCAAATAGAGGGATGCTCTCTCAACCTGGACACATGGGGAAGGGCCTAGGTCCTGCCCTGGATGAAATTACAGACTTTGGAGATCCCCCCAAACGAGGGCCTCACCCTCCCTGGAGAATGATGTGGGAATGGGGTGGAGGGCTTGGGAGGATGGTGGAGGGACAAGGGAGGAGGGGTGGGAGAGGGAGTTGTGATTGACATGTGAAGCATTCATGTTTCTAATTTAAATAAAAACATACATTGAGGGGAAAAAAAGAGACTAAAAAAAGAGACTGGAACTCCTGCTTTGGTGGAACTAGCAGGCTGGGGTTCCATTCTGAAAGACCAGTCTAGACAGGATTTCTTATCTACTGGGTTAGAGCCTGCCTTGGGGTGGCAGGAGTAGAAGCAGGCCTGTGGTGAGCTGTGGTGATAGGAACTAGAGGGGCCTTTTGGAAGCTGGGTAAGAAGAAAGGATGGAGGGATTGGCCCTCATTAGCAAACCACAGAGTATCATCAGCAGAGAACATCACATTTGTCTTTTTTTTTTTTTTTTTTTTTGGTTTTTTGAGACAGGGTTTCTCTGTAGCTTTGGAGGCTGTCCTGGAACTCACTCTGTAGACCAGGCTGGCCTCGAACTCACAGAGATCCGCCTGCCTCTGCCTCCCGAGTGCTGGGATTAAAGGCGTGCGCCACCAACGCCCGGCCCCTGTCTTGAAAAAAACCAAAAAAAAAACCAAAAAAAAAAAAAAAAAAAGAAAGAAAGAAAAGAAAAAAAAAGGACGATAATCGACTGTTTTTTCTCCCTCTCTTCTCCCCTTCCTTCTCTTTACTTCAATACAAAGTCTTGCTATATTGGTCAGGCTAACCTAACTCCCAGGTTCAAGTGATCTTCCTACCTGCCTCAGCCTAACTGTTGTTTTTGTTTTGTTTTACGAGACAGGGTTTCTCTGCCTCCTGAGTGCTGGAACTTAAGGCCTGTGCCACCAACGCCCGTCAATATATTTAACTTTGACAGTGTGTGTGTACATGTCCTGTGTGGGTTTGTACATGTACCTGTGAGAGGAGATCCCCTAGAGCTGAAGTTACAGGCAGTTGTGAGATGTCCAAAGTTGTTGCTGGGAATGAAAGTGGAGTCCTCAGCTGGGCAGTGGTGGCACCCACCTTTGATTCCAGCACTTGGCAGAGGCAGGTGGATCTCTGTGAGTTCAAGACCATCCTGGTCTACAAGAGTTAGTTCCAGCAGCGCCAGAACGACACAAGGAAACCCTGCCTCAACAAACAAACAAAAGAACTTTAAACTTCTTTAATGTTGTCAGTCACCTAAAATTGTCTTCTGTCCAAGTGGGAAAGTTAGCCCATACACTTCTGTGAACGCAACCAGTTTTACCAAAGCAACCTGGGACCAAGATGCTGACTTTGGAGAGTGTGGGTTCCTTAACAACAACTGCTCTCTGTTCATGCTAACTTCCTCCTACCCAAAGGTTAGGTCAGCCAGCCCCTGGGTCCAGAACAGGCACAATGCTCAGCAGGTTCCCAAAGAATACTTAAGAGCTAACGACCAGAATCCTAGAATGCCTACCCTCAGTGAAGGGTGCCCCTGCGGGCTCTGGGGCTTTCTGGCTTGGACTGCAAAGCAGCAGGATAAGTGACCGCACGGGTTGCTAAGACACCAAAGACGAAGGGGCTCAAG